CTCTCTCTCTCAAAAAATAAACATTAAAAAAATTTTTTTTAAATAAAAAAAAAAATATGCTCATTCTCAACATATTTACTCCTAAACCGCATAAATGAATACAACAAGACACTGTGTTTCCTGATCAATTGTGCCCAGCCAGAATGAAGCAGTTGAGGCAAAAGCAGCTCAATTTCCATTTCTGTCCAGGTCAGGAAACAGGAAAACGACAGAATCTGTCACGGAGTTCAACCATGAGCATGGACTGCGGCCTACTTACATTGCCCCCAAAGGATCCATATGTCCTATCCCCCATGTAGGAATCTGCCATTTATGCTTCCTTTAAAAAGAAGTTAAACAGGGGCGCCTGGGTGGCTCAGCTGGTTAACCGTCTGACTTCGGCTCAGGTCATGATCTCACGCTTCGAGGGTTTGAGCCCCGCGTCGGGCTCTGTGCTGACAGCTCGAAGCCTAGAGCCTGCTTCCGATTCTGTGTCTCCCTCTCTCTCTGCCCCTCCCCTGCTCACGCTCTGTCTCTCTCCGTCTCTCAAAAATAAAAAAATGTAAAAAAATAAATAAAAATAAATAAGTAAATAAATAATAAAAAGAAGTTAAAGATAATCCTTTCTATGCGCATTTGAGTTGTAGCCGGAACCCCAGTTGTGCCAAGATGCGCAATTTGGCCCAACATATTTACACGGAATGCCTTTTGTTTTTCAATTACAACGTACAATCTGTTCTGAGATGATTTCCATCTAGACACAGGTGTCAAATTAGATGACAAGCACTGGCTGGTACCGACTGATCTTCTCACATGTCATGCATTTATAAGTTTAGCACTCACATTTACAGTGAGACTGCAGACATCTGGTATACCATTTCTTCTCATAATCTCTGTCATCTGCCTCCATTGTTTGAGAGAGTTTAGAGAGATCTACAGAAGCCATGCTAGTCTGTATTTCCTCATGGGGAACATTAAGGAAGGATGCCAAGGAAGATGACCTTCTCAAAGAGAAGGACCTGCTGTACACGTTCGGCATGCTAACTAAATGGAAAAGAGTTCTCTATTCCAGGGAAGGGAAAGGAGAGGGGCTTTCAGGGAAGAACCAGAGGTACATGGGAGCATGTGGTGAATACATTAGGGATGCGGGAAGAGTTTAGCACAGAAGGGGGTTCAGGAGGGTCCCAGAGAAGGGTCCAGATGGGATGTCAGGGAACCCTACAAGAGTACTCATGGAACGGGACAGACGCTGGTAGGGCTGACACACTGAACGGTGACCGAGGATGACAGGCAGGTATGTCGTGATGGGACCTGGGGCTTCAAGGTCCCAGTGAAACTATGGAGTTTGGGTATGGCCCTGTGGTACCCAGAGTCGGAGTGGCGGTGGGGCATGCTCTCTGGGATGGCTGTGCCCAGCCAGATTCAGCAGACCTTACCTCAGAGCCAGCCCTGATTCCTGGTGGCTAGAGGAGCAAACTGGGGTGCTAAGAAAACACAGCCTCCAAGTGTAAATATTTTTATCCCCTCTTCCACAAGCCCCCTTTTAAAAATCCTTAGTCCAGAGCAAAGTTTTCTTCTTTAAGGGTGAGAGGATAACATCAGCAGACTCTGAAGGCCTGGTCTTTAAGCACGGGGAGCAAGCATTAGGGAGAGGAACAACATAGCCCGACCTTGGGGCCCTGGGTTCAGCCTCCAGCAACAGCCTCACCTCCCGAGCCTCACCTCCCACAGCACAGTGGTCCATTTAGGCTAAGCATAAGCAGCGGTGTCCTGGTACCCACCCCCCCATCCATCCGAGCAGAAAGCCGAAGACCAGGCTGTGTCTGCTTATCTCCAACAATTTACAGAATCAACTAAAATGAAACCCTGTGAGATTGCCAGTCCTTCCATCGTGACCGGCAAAGAAGCGGAAATGTCATGTGGCTTAACCTGAAACGATCTAGGATAATAACCCCTACCCTGTCCCCACGTCAACCACAAGCAGTTAAAGAAAGTACAGAGAGTAAAAAGTAAACACCCTAAGGCCCAGTCCTCGGTCACCACGCTCGGAGCTTCCCGGAAACGGACGCAGAAAAGGATGCTCTCGTAGCCCTGTTTTTCTAGGTTCCTACAGCGACGTCAATTGGCCTCGATTTGACAATACACTGCTTTTGCCTCATATACCCCAGACACAGATATGTGCAGGGTCTCTCCCCAGGGCCAATCTAAACCCCCACACACAGCACGACAAACACTGCTTTCGCCGAGTCACTCCTCTGCTCAAGAACCTACGGTGGCTCCTTATTATCTTCCCGGAGGGCCAAACCCAAACCTCTCCCCTGGATAGGTAAGGCCCTCCATAACGCGGTGGCCTCCGCCCATCCCAGCCCCACACCACCCTCGGTCCTCACAGCCACCGAAACCTCACCATGTCGGAAGACCTGGGACCCACGGCTACCACCAAACCTTCCCTGACCTCACTTTTACAGTCCACTCCCTCCTCTGAAGCTCAGTTCGTTCCTTAAAGCAACACTTGGCAGGGATGCTCGAGACCCAATACCGGCGCTTGGCTGCCCCATATCCGGTCTCCTCTGCGGCACGTCTCGGCTACTTGTTAGTTCATCTTCACAAGTGTAAATACTCTCCCTCTCGACTGAAATCAAGCCCCCTAAAGACAGAGACACCATAGACTGTGTAAATCCCCCCCGGCACCCCCGCCCCCCAGTCGGTACTGCAGATCTGGGGAGTCGGTTCCCAGCCCTCACATCCAACACAAGGGCCGAGTCTCAGTCTGCCGGCTCTCCTTGTAGACAACGGAGTGTTGCTGCTTTCAGCTCTGGCAGACATCACACCCCAGGCCTCCTAAAGAGACTGGAAAGGCGAAAGAAGACACGATCACAGACATCCACTTTACTTCAAGGAAATCTGCCAATGCAGCATTTATAAAGAGGGACTGATAACAGGTAGGGGACAGCAGTACATCTCTGCAGAGTTTGTGACAGCTTCGTTCCAGAGGCGTGCAAAGAACACTGGACACAGGGTCAGAGACCTCATTGAAATCCTGGTTCTAGCAGGCTCTTACTTGCCATGCGACCTTCGCAGAGTTATAGCATCTCTCTGAGCCCCAGTCTCCACGTCTGCCAACCACGATACCTCGGTCGTGCTGAAGGTGCTCAGCGTGTGTTTGTTTTCTTCCCTCT